TGGATCAGCTCCCCCCTCCCTCCCCCGTCCAGTACACACCCCCGCCCCCCTAGTATAACACTCCCCTTACACTGCAAATTCTAAAAATGTTAATCCCTTCCTCCCCAGTGACATTAGTACAGTTTCAGTGGTTTTTTTTTCACTGATCACTGTATTGGTGTCACTGGGGATGTCAGTGACCCCAAGTCAGTTCCCCCCCCAGTGTCAAAATGTCCGCCGCTGTCCCGCAGTCCCGCCATAAGTCGCTGGTCGCCGCCATTATTAGTATATATAAAAATTAAAAATCCCAGTATCTTTCCCGCCATTTGTAATTGCTATAACTTTCACGTAAACCAATTAATTTACACGTATTGGGATTTTTTTTAGCAAAGACATGTCGCAGAATGCATTTTGGCAGAAATTTATGACTAAATTTGATTTTTGCATTTTTTTTTACTGGACATGTTTTATAGCAAAAAGTCCAAAATATTGTTTTTTTTCCCTCAAAATTGTCAGCCTTTTTTTTTATAGCGCAAAAAATAAAAACCGCACAGGCGATCAAATACCACCAAAAGAAAGCTCAATTTGTGGGAAATAAAGGATGTAAATTTCATTTATGTACCGTATTGCATGACCGCGCAATTGTCCGTTAAACTAGCGCAGCGCTGTATAGCAGAAAATGGCGTAAATTGCAGTATCTATACCATAGTTTGTAGACGCTATAACTTCAACACAACAAAGCAATCAATATACACTTTTTGGGATTTTTTTTTTACCAAAAACATGGAGCAGAATACATTTTGGCCTAAATTTATAACCAACTTTGAGTTTACTATATATTTTTTATAGCTGAAAGTAAAAAATATTGTTTTTCTTCAAAATTTTTGGCCTTTTTTTTTTTATAGCGTGAAAAATAAAAAGCGCACAGGTGATCAAATACCACCGAAAGAAAGCTCTATTTGTGTGAAAAAAAGGACGTAAATTTCCTTTGGGTGCAGCATTGCATGACCGCGCAATTATCAGTTGAATTAGTGCAGCGCCGAGTAGCAAAAAAGAGGCGTGGTCATTAAGGGGGGTAAATCCTCAGGAGGTCAAATGGTTAATATTTATATTTAAAATATATTTAATTTGGGTACAGTGCTGCATGACCGCGCAATTACTAGTTCAAGTAGCGCAGTGCGGTATAAGAAAAAAATGGCCTGGTTAAGAAGAGGGGGGGGGGGGGATAAAATCTTCCGGAGCTGAAGTGGTTAAGGTCATACCACGCAGGGGCGGACTGACCATTTGGAAACTCGGGCGCTGCCGAGGGCCCGGGGTCAGTAGGGGGCCCCATGAGATGCCCCTGGTACCTTTTTCATAGGCTTTTTTGAGTTTGGGAAAGGACATGGGCCCCATGATCCCCTATTGCCCGGGGGCCCCATGAGTTGTCAGTCCGCCCCTGATACCTCGTTTATTATTTTTATTAAAAAAAAACCTTTACAACCTCTTTATTGTTCGGCGAGTATTTCTATTAAAAAATCAAATGTCTCCTGTGTTTCAGATCCTGATGAAGCTGAAGAACATTGCGCTGGAAGCAGAGAGCGAGCTGGAGCGTCAGGACGAATCTCTCGACGAGATCACGTCTTCCGTGGACAGATCGGTCTTCAGCATCGACAAACAGACTCGAAGGATGAGAAAGCTGCTGTAGCGCGCGGGGACACGCAGAATAAATTGGAGGAAAGGATCGTCTGCCGCCGACCACAGGTGTCATGCTCCTCCCGCTGGATATATTGTGACAGGCGGGTTCGGTCGGCGGGTCCACGTCTCCTCCTCCCTCGCAGTTTTTGGGCGTTTCCTCTAATTTCCATAAGCTGTTTGCTGAACGATAGCATGATGCTGCTGATGTTTACACGCACCGACAATGCAAAGCGCCCCTCTCGTTCTACTGTGCGCAAACGTGGCGGGAATGCTGAACGCCTGCCGCCGTGGCTGCAAATTTCTCTACATGATTCCGCTTCGCATTCATTGAGGTCCTGTGCCCGTGGTCATGTGCAAGCCTGGGGTACAGTATGGTTACCCCCCCCCCCCCCAAATTTTTTTTTTTTCTTTCTCAAAATCAAAACTGACATTTGTTAAAGCTGAATATGGGTTCAAAAAAATCTATCCGCATCTCCAGTGTGTATTTTTTTTTTTTGGCATTTTGATAAATTTATCTTTTAACCACTTCCCGTCCGGCCGTTGTATATAAACAATAGTGCAGGGTCAGGTGGCCATTTATAAACGGACTCCCCGCCCCCTGCTTCCCTGGGAGCCGCGCAGCACCGCGATCTGGTGCCCGCTGTGTCCTCCGGACACAGTGGAACACCGATCGTCGGACGGGACCTCTGTGTGATGTCCCGATCATGTGATCACCGATTAGCCAATCAGTGATCACATGAACAGTAGTAAGCAAGGTGTCACTTCTGACATCATTGCTTACTACGTGTGAAATCTGTGAATGATCACAGAGGTCACATGGTACAGGGCCATTCACAACAGCCTTGTACCATGTGACAAGCTGTGACCAATCACAGCTCTCACAGTAGTTCTCAATGGAGCCAGAGAGGAGAAATGATTGCTTTTACAGCCTTTATGGGTGTAACAGCAATCAGTGTAAAAAAAAAAAAATCGTCATCACCCCCCACAAGTAGTACAGTGTCACCATGGTGACACTACTGCTAGGGTGACAGTATGTAAAAAAAAAAATATTAAAAAAAAAAATTAAAAAAACAGTTTAAAAATTATAATTTTGTTTATAAACTAATTTGGGTTATTTTTTTTTTTTTACTAAAACGGAATAAATTTTGGCCAAGATTTATGATAAAATATTATTTTATTTACAAAATTTTATAAGAAAAACATTTTTTCAAAATTTTTGGACATTTTCATTTACATAGCAAAAAAAATAAAAAATCCCAGTGGTGAATAAATAAAATAAAGCTTTATCTGTCTCAAAAAAATGCTAGAAAATTCATATGGGTACAGTGTTGCATGACTGCGCAATTGTCATTCAAAGTGTGACAGCGCTAAAAAGTTGAAAATTGGCCTGGACAGGAAGGGAGGGAAAGTGTCCGGACTGGAAGGGGGGGAAAGTGTCCGGACTGGAAGGGGGGGAAAGTGTCCGGACTGGAAGGGGGGGGGGGGAAAGTGTCCGGACAGGAAGGGAGGGAAAGTGTCCGGACTGGAAGGGGGGGAAAGTGTCCGGACAGGAAGGGGGGGAAAGTGTCCGGACTGGAAGGGGGGGAAAGTGTCCGGACTGGAGGGGGGGGGAAGTGTCCGGACTGGAAGGGAGGGAAAGTGTCCGGACTGGAAGGGAGGGAAAGTGTCCGGACTGGAAGGGGGGAAAGTGTCCGGGACTGGAAGGGGGGAAAGTGTCCGGACTGGAAGGGAGGGAAAGTGTCCGGACTGGAAGGGGGTGTCCGGACTGGGAAGGGTCCGTGTCCGGACTGGAAGGGGGTAAAAGTGTCCGGACTGGAAGGGGGTGAAAGTGTCCGGACAGGAAGGGGGTGAAAGTGTCCGGACTGGAAGGGGGGGAAAGCGTCCGGACTGGAAGGGGGGGGAAAGGTCCGGTGGAAGGGGGGTGAAAGTGTCCGGACTGGAAGGGGGGGTGAAAGCGTCCGGGACTGGAAGGGGGGGTGAAAGGGTCCGGACTGAAAGGGCGGAAAGGTCCGGACTGGAAGGTGCGGGAAAGCGTCCGGGGAAGGGGGGAAAGCGTCCGGACTGGAAGGGTGGGAAAGCGTCCGGACTGGAAGGGGGGGGAAGCGTCCGGGGGAAGGGGGGGGAAAGCGTCCCGGACTGGAAGGGGGGAAAGCGTCCGGACTGGAAGGGGGAAAGCGTCCGGACTGAAAGGGCGGGAAAGCGTCCGGACTGGAAGGGGGTGGAAAGCGTCCGGACTGGAAGGGGGGAAAGCGTCCGGACTGGAAGGGGTTTCCGGACTGGAAGGGGGGGGAAGCGTGGACAGGAAGGGGGGGAAAGCCAAACTGGAAGGGGGAAAGCGTCCGGGACTGGAAGGGGGGAAAGCGTCCGGACTGGAAAGGGGGGGAAAGCGTCTGGTGACTGGAAGGGGGATAAAAGTATAAAAGTGTCAACTGGAAGGGGGTAAAAGCGTCCAGACTGGAAAGGGGGGTTAAGAAAAGTGTCAGGACTGGAAGGGGGCGAAAGCGCCGGACTGGAAGGGGGTGAAAGGGGTTAAACAAGTCCCTGACCCTTTCCAAAAAAAACGCAGCGGGTGAAAACACGGAGATGTGAAGAGTCCCATAGACAATCACGTATATGGACTGCTGTGCATTTCTGCAAATCGCTGCGGAAAACACAAAGGTGTGAGCCTAGACTAAGCCTCTTCATTGCTGTTCTGATTGAAAACACGTTCTTCTCTGGTGTAGACTAGGAGCCCCGGGCCCCCAGAAGTGTTCCGTGATGTATTGAGGAGCCCATAGAGCTCACATGATGGGGCGTAGTACGTGGGTGAAGCTGCTCGCGGCTCCGGAAGTCACTGGGTGGCGTTTCCTACAACTTCATCCGGTGTAAAGGACAAGGAGCACCAAATCCATGCCTCAGGTCCAAGCATAAACCAAGGTGGGGGGGGGGGGGGGGGTCTGAAAGGCCTTTTTTTCATCATGCAGTACAAAGCCCAGACGCAGAACAGATTCTCGGCCAATGAAATGTGGTTAAAAGAAAAAGCGCACGGGTTTGGCGTATCGCATCTGCACATAAAGGAGGGCAGGAGCCCAATGTAGAGGAGGGAAAACAGGGATGATTGCGCTGAACTATGGAAGTCTGGAGAGGAAACCCGAGAAAAGAAATATCGATTTGTTACAAAGTTAGAGAAGAACTCCAGGGATGAATACTTGTTCATAGTTACATTGTTGCAGCTTGGACCAATATAACTATGGATATGCCGTACCTGTGGGATCCTCCTAGACCCGGGGTGGCAGACGCAATCTCACCGCGGGACGCATCCGCATTATGGGTGCGCCCAAAGGGCCGGTTGTATCTGAAAGACTAGATGAGCCCCACCCCCATTTACATCAGATGTCAAGTGCCCCCACCACCATCAGAAGACAGGTCCCCCACTATCCCTTACACCCCACCACCATCAGAAGACAAGTCCCCCTACCATTCCTTACACCCCCCCCCACCATCACCCACCCCTTATCAGAAGGACAAGTCCCCCACCATCCCTTACACCCCCCCCCACCCACCATCAGAAGACAAGTCCCCCACTATCCCTTACACCCCACCACCATCAGAAGACAAGTCCCCCTACCATTCCTTACACCCCCCCCCCACCCCCACCCACCATCAGAAGGCAAGTCCCCCACTATCCCTTACCCCCCACCATCATCAGAAGGCACAGGTCCCCCACCCCCAGCCCACCATATCCCTTACACCTCACCACCATCAGAAGACAAGTCCCCCACCATACCTTACACCCCCCCCACCATCAGAAGGCAAGTCCCCCACCATCCAAGTCCCCACCCCCTTACCATCATCAGAAGACAAGTCCCCCACCATCCCCCCCCCACCATAGAAAACAAGTCCTCCACCATCCCTTACCCCCCACCCACCATCAGAAGGCAAGTCCCCCACCACCATTCCTTACCCCCCCCCCCCCCCCCACCATCAGAAGACAAGTCCCCCACCACCATTTCTTATCCCCCCCCCACCATCAGAAGACAAGTCTCCCCACCATCCCTTACACCCCCCCCACCATCAAAAGACAAGTCCCCCACCATCCCTTACACCCCCCCCCCACCATCAGAAGACAAGTCCCCCACCATCCCTTACACCCCCCCCCACCCATCAGAAGACAAGTCCCCCACCATCCCTTACACCCCCCCCCCCCACCATCAGAAAACAAGTCCTCCACCATCCCTTACACCCCCCCCACCCATCAGAAGACAAGTCCCCCACCATCCCTTACACCCCCCCCACCATCAGAAACAAGTCCCCCACCATCCCTTACACCCCCCCCCACCATCAGAAAACAAGTCCTCCACCATCCCTTACACCTCCCCACCCACCATCAGAAGACAAGTCCCCCACCATCCCTTACACCCCCCCCCCACCATCAGAAGACAAGTCCCCCACCATCCTTTACACCCCCCCCTTCCACCATCAGAAGACAAGTCCCCCACCATCCCTTACACCTCCCCACCATCAGAAGACAAGTCCCCCACCATCCCTTACACCCCCCCCCACCCACCGTCAGAAGACAAGTCCCCCACCATCCCTTACCCTTAGAAGACAAGACACCCACCCCCCCCCCACCATCAGAAGACAAGTCCCCCACCATCCCTTACACCCCCCCCCACCCACCGTCAGAAGACAAGTCCCCCACCATCCCTTACACCCCCCCACCCACCGTCAGAAGACAAGTCCCCCACCATCCCTTATACCCCCCCACCATCAGAAGACAAGTCCCCCACCATCCCTTACACCCCCCCACCCACCGTCAGAAGACAAAAAACGTTGTTCGCTCGGTAATCTGATGGCGCCATCAATGATTTTTTTGGTGTTATTTGATCACTGGGGTTTTTATTTTTTGCAATAAAAAGGAAAGAAAGATCGAAATTTTTAAGAAAAAAAAACACTAAATTTTTTACTTTCTGCTATAAAACATATCCAATGAAAAAAAAATTTAAACAAATCAAATTTCTTTATGCATTTTGGCCAAAATGTATTCTGCTACATGTCTTTGATGAACACCAAAAAAAAAAAAAAAGCTCTATTTGTGTGAAAAAAAAATTCTATCATTTTTTTTTGTTATTTGACCACCACTGGGGGGGGGGGGGGGGGGGTTTGTGATGAAAACCCAAAAAAATAGATCGAAATTTTAAAAAAAAACCACAATATTTTGTTTGCCTACAGCATTGCATAACTGCAGTTGCCAGTAGCGCAGTGCAGAACAGCAAAAAAAAAAAAAAATGGCCTGGTCATAAAGGGGGGTAAAACCTTCAGGCGTTGAAGTGATTAAAGGGAATTTGCAGTTGAGTTTATTATTCAGAAAAGTGTCCTTGTTAGGAATACCGATGGCAGCTGCCTGTCTATATTCTGAAATGTAACATTATATATAATAAAGCAAAAAAACGGCCAGCCAATCCGATCGATTGCTGAGTCTCCGGGATATTTCCGTGTCATGGCTGCAGCTGTGGGAGGACCTGTCATTCCTGTTACGATTCAGTGACAACGTGTTTGTATTTATTTATACGTTTGTTAGTATATTGTATGTCTGTATATTGTATCATTAGTGGATTGATTGTATGTTGTTTGCAATTTATAAATCCTGTAATTCCGTTTCCATTGTCAGAGTCTTCTTTCTACCCGATGGACGAAGGTCTCAAACCGAACATTTGTATAGGGACGCCCGGAAAGAGGTTAAATCCTCCCCTTTGGGCTTGCACAGGTGTACCGGCTCCTCCCCTTCAGTCTCGCACAGGTGTACCGGCTCCTCCCCTTCAGTCTTTCACAGGTGTACCGGCTCCTCCCCTTCAGCCTCGCACAGGTGTACCGGCTCCTCCCCTTCAGTCTTTCACAGATGTACCGGCTCCCCCCCTCCGGTCTCGCACAGGTGTACAGGCTCCTCCCCTTCAGTCTCGCACAAGTGTATTGACTCCTCTCCTTCGGTCTTGCACAGGTGTACCGGCTCCTCCCCTTCAGCCTCGCACAGGTGTACCGGCTCCTCCCCTTCAGTCTTTCACACAAGATGTACCGGCTCCCCCCTCCGTCTCGCACAGGTGTACAGGCTCCTCCCCTTCAGTCTCGCACAAGTGTATTGACTCCTCTCCTTCGGTCTTGCACAGGTGTACCGGCTCCTCCCCTTCAGTCTTGCACAGGTGTACCGGCTCCTCCCCTTCAGTCTTGCACACGTGTACCAGCTCCTCCCCTTCAGTCTTTCACAGGTGTACCGGCTCCTCCCCTTCAGTCTCGCACAGGTGTACCGACTCCTCCCCTTCAGTCTTGCACAGGTGTACCGGCTCCTCCCCTTCAGTCTCGCACAGGTGTACCGGCTCCTCCCTTCAGTCTTTCACAGGTGTACCGGCTCCCCCCTCTCGATCTCGCACAGGTGTACAGGCTCCTCCCCTTCGGTCTCGCACAAGTGTATTGACTCCTCTCCTTTGGTCTTGCACACGTGTACCAGCTCCTCCCCTTCAGTCTTGCACAGGTGTACCGGCTCCTCCCCTTCAGTCTTGCACAGGTGTACCGGCTCCTCCCCTTCAGTCTTGCACAGGTGTACCGGCTCCTCCCCTTCAGTTTTGCACAGGTGTACCGACTCCTCCTCCTTTTCAGTCTTGCGCAGGTGTACCGCTCCTCCCCCTCAGTCTTGCACAGGTGTACCGGCTCCTCCCCTTCGGTCTTGCACAGGTGTACCGGCTCCTCCCCTTCAGCCTTGCACAGGTGTACCGGCTCCTCCCCTTCAGTCTTGCACAGGTGTACCGGCTCCTCCCCTTCGGTCTTGCACAGGTGTACCGGCTCCTCCCCTTCAGCCTTGCACAGGTGTACCGGCTCCTCCCCTTCAGTCTTGCACAGGTGTACCGGCTCCTCTCCCGGACTGAAACGGCTTCCTCTTGATTTCACCGCAAACTGTGAGCTCCTCACAATGTGCATTAGAAGCTGCAGCAAGTCAGATCTCCACCCCATTTCCTGGCTGGAGGACGTCCAACATCATCTAAACTAAGGGTCTCCAAACTTTTCAGTACAAGGGCCAAATTGTATATTTTATAAGTTTTCAGGGGCCAAAAAAAATTAGTTTTTGTTAAATCAATGAATGGAATTTAAAATGAATAAGTTTTTTTTTCTTTGGAGCTCTTTGTCATCAGCAGGATATGAATCAACAGCAACAAAAAGTAAAACAAATCAAAGAAATTTCAAATAAACCCTTTCATAAAGGCTGAGCAAAGATACATTCAGTCTGCACCTTTCTCATCAGATTCCCCTTTAAATCAGGGTCACTATCAGAGTCCCTCTTACATCAGAGTCCCCCCTTACATCACCAACCCCCCTTACATCCCCATCAGAGTGCCTTCCTACATCAGAGTCCCCTTTTACATTAATGTGCCCCCCCTACAGAAGAGTCCCCCATTACATCACCATTCCCCCTTACATTAGAGGCCCTCCCTACATCCTCATCAGAATCCTTCAGAGTTCCACCTTCCTACATCAGAGTCCCCTTTTACATTAGTGTCCCACCAGAATGCCCCCCCTACAGAAGAGCCTCCCTTATATCAGAGTCCACATCAGAACCCCCTTTACACCAGAGTCCTCCCCATGTCAGTTCCATATCAGACTCCCACTTTACATCAGGGTCTCCATCAGAGGCTCCCCTGAATCAGGATCAAAATCAGAGTCCCTCTTACATCACCATCCGCCCTTACATTAGAGTCCCTACTTACATCCTCATCAGAGTCATTCTTACATCAGAGTTCCCCCTTACATCAGTGTCTCCATCAGAGTGCCCCCTTACATCAGTGTCTACATCAGAGTGCCCCCTTACATCAGGTGTCTCCATTAGAGTGCCCCCTTACATCAGGTGTCTCCATTAGAGTGCCCCCTTACATCAGGTGTCTCCATTAGAGTGCCCCCTTACATCAGGTGTCTCCATTAGAGTGCCCCCTTACATCAGGTGTCTCCATTAGAGTGCCCCCTTACATCAGATGTCTCCATTAGAGTGCCCCCTTACATCAGTGTCTCCATCAGAGTGCCCCCTTACATCAGTACCCACATCAGAGTGCCCCATACAACAGAGGTCCCCCTTACATTAGTGTCTTCATCAGAGTTCCCCCTTACATCAGTGTCTCCATCAGAGTTCCCCCTTACATCAGTGTCTCCATCAGAGTGCCCCCTTACATCAGGTGTCTCCATCAGTGTGCCCCCTTACATCAGGTGTCTCCATCAGAGTGCCCCCTTACATCAGGTGTCTCCATCAGAGTGCCCCCTTACATCAGGTGTGTGCTCCATCCCAGAGTGCCCCCTTACATCAGGTGTCTCCATCAGTGTGCCCCCTTACTCAGTGCCCACATCAGTGCAGAGTGCACCGTACAACAGAGTTCCCCCTTATATCAGTGTCTCCCCATCAGAGTGCCCCCTTACATCAGTGCCCCCTTTACATCAGAGAGTGCCCACCTCAGAGTGCCCCCTTACATCAGTGCCCACCTCAGAGTGCCCCCTTTCATCAGTGCCCACATCAGAATGCCCACCTCAGAGTGCCCCCTTACATCAGTGCCCACCCCAGAGTGCACCGTACAACAGAGTTCCCCCTTATATCAGTGTCTCCATCAGAGTGCCCCCTTACATCAGTGCCCACATCAGAGTGCCCCCTTACATCAGTGCCCACATCAGAGTGCCCCCTTACATCAGTGCCCACATCAGAGTGCCCACATCAGAATGCCCCCTTACATCAGTCCCCACATCAGATTGCCCGCCTCAGAGTGCTCCCTTACATCAGTGCCCACATCAGAGTGCCCCCTTACATCAGTGCCCACCCCAGAGTGCACCGTACAACAGAGTTCCCCCTTATATCAGTGTCTCCATCAGAGTGCCCCCTTACATCAGTGCCCACATCAGAGTGCCCCCTTACATCAGTGCCCACATCAGAGTGCCCCCTTACATCAGTGCCCACATCAGAGTGCCCACATCAGAATGCCCCCTTACATCAGTGCCCACATCAGATTGCCCGCCTCAGAGTGCTCCCTTACATCAGTGCCCACATCAGAGTGCCCCCTTACATCAGTGTCCCCATCAGAGTTCTGCCCCACAGCAGAGTGTTCCCCCTTGCATCAGAATCCACATTAACTGAACAAGCTGAAGTTAGAAGCTGATTGATTTACCATGCTGATTCTGAGTGCTCCAGTTGTGTAAATATCCCCCAATGACTTTCCTAAGCAATGACTCAAGAACTGACGCTGGCTGAGGGAATTATAAAAAAAAACAAAACAGAGAGGGTCTAGCTAGGACAAACTAGCACTAAACAGGAGGGTAAGACGGAGGAAGAAACCAAAACCAAAAAGTAAACAAGTTGTAGTGGCCCAAACCGCCATTAGATGTCAGCATAGATCTTTAAAAAGTTAAAAATGGCTGGGTGAATGCTTGTAGCAACATTCATTCGATGAATATGTTATAAACAGACCCCTCATGCATGCAGAGGGGCTGTCGGGGGATGATGTCATTTGGACCCTTTCTATGTAAGCGATACTTCTTGAAGTTCTTCAATGAATCCCGCACATGAGTCTCTGTCCCGTCATTTCACAGCCGGCGTGTTTCCTGTCCCGGAACCTTCCTCTAGATCTGCTCTCCTTTAGGTCGTTGTGCCGAGCGGTGATAGAATTCAGAGTTCTCCGGGGTTATCGGAATGGGCGGAGTCTGGCTGGGGGGACCGGCGCCGGAGCCTGGCTCTGATCAAAACGTTTCCAGTAAAGGGATTCCTTGGCACAAACAGCGGCCGCCGCTTTCCCACCACCACCTTTATCTCTCTCTGACATCACAGCGCCAAGATCCCGCCACGGGGCGATGAACAACACGCAGCGCAGATGAGAAAACATGTGAGACTCGGCAGGGCGGGCGGATGGAGGAGGAGCGGCACTACCACATGGAAACATGGAGGGCGAGTAAAGGGAAACCTTCCTCTTATCCTTCTCTGGATCACTTTAATGGCGGCTTTTGGTCGTTATTATTACAGGTACTTATATAGCGCCTTCAATTTATATATTTATTGTACATTGACATCAGTCCCCGCCCCTGAGGAGCGTGCGATCTAAAGTCCCTAAATCACATTCATACATACACATGTGAGACTCGGCATTGTGGGCGGATGGAGGAGGACCGGCACTACCACATGGAAAGATGGAGGGCTTTTGGTCTGGATCACTTTCATACATACACATACTAGGGGCAATTTAGACCGAAGCCAATTCACCTTTCAGCATGTCTTTGGAGTGTGGGAGGAAACTGGAGTACCTGGAGGAAACCCACGCAGGCACAGATTTAGGCCCAAATGTATTCCGCTCCACGTCTTTGCAAAAAAAAAAACAAAATCCTGATACATGTACATTAATTGGTTTACGTGAAAGTTAGAGCGTTTACAAATGGCAGTATAGATACATCAGTGCCCACATCAGAGTGCCTCGTACAACAGAGTTCCCCCTTATATCAGTGTCTCCATCAGAGTGCCCCCTTACATCAGTGCCCACATCAGAGTGCCCCATACAACAGAGTTCCCCTTATATCAGTGTCTCCATCAGAGTGCCCCCTTACATCAGTGCCCACATCAGAGTGCCCCATACAACAGAGTTCCCTTTATATGAGTGTCTCCATCAGAGTGCCCCCTTACATCAGTGCCCACATCAGAGTGCCTCGTACAACAGAGTTCCCCCTTATATCAGTGTCTTCATCAGAGTACCCCCTTACATCAGTGCCCACATCAGAGTGCCTCGTACAACAGAGTTCCCCCTTATATCAGTGTCTTCATCAGAGTGCCCCCTTACATCAGTGTCCACATCAGAGTGCCTCGTACAACAGAGTTCCCCCTTATATCAGTGTCTCCAACAGAGTTCCCCCTTACATCAGTGTCCACATCAGAGTGCCTCGTACAACAGAGTTCCCCCTTATATCCGTGTCTCCATCAGAGTGCCCCGTTACATCAGTGCCCACATCAGAGTGCCCCCTTACATCAGTGCCCACATCAGAGTGCCCCATTACATCACTGTCTCTATCAGAGTGCCCCCTTACATGAGCGCCCACATCAGAGTGCCCCGTTACATCAGTGTCTCCATCAGTGTGCCCCCTTACATGAGCATGAGAGTGCACCCACATGTCAGAGTGCCCCCTTACATCAGTGTCTCCATCACAGTGCCCACATCAGAGATCCCCATACAACAGAGGTCCCCCTTATATCAGTGTCTCCATCAGAGTGCTCCCTTACACCAGTGCCCACATCAGAGTGCCTCGTACAACAGAGTTCCCCCTTATATCATTCCCCCTTATATCAGTGTCTCCATCAGAGTGCCCCCTTACGTCAGTGCCCACATCAGAGTGCCCCCTTACGTCAGTGCCCACATTAGAGTGCCCCCTTACATCAGTGTCTCCACATTCTGACACTGGCGGGACTGACTTGGTGTCACTGACATCTCCATTGACACCAATACAGTGATCAGTGCTAATAAAAAGCACTGACACTGTACTAATGGCACTGGGTAAGGGGTTAACATCTGGGGTGATCAAAGTGTTAACTGTGTGTGTTTCACTAGGCAGACATGCTGCTTTGTATGGCTGTGCTGTCCTTGCTGGCGGGAGAGAGATCTGTGTTGTGTACACACAGGTCTCTCCCCTGTCAGCCTTCCCCGACGATCGGGACCCGGTGATTGACATCTCTAGCCGCCAATAGCAGCGCGGGTAGGGCGGCCTGCGTGCATGCGCAACCCCCCTACCCTCAAATGCAAAGTTGCGTATATACACGTGATTTTGCGCAGCCCTGCCGCCGTGCAGCAGTACTCCCCGGATACAAGATGTATAGAAGCATACCTTGGTCGATAAGAGGTTAAAGGAAAC